AAGCGGTTTAAGAATGGTAGGCAGTGAAAGTTCCTGTGACTCCTCTTTAGTGATAAGGCCATTGAGACATTTTAAATGACAACATTGGATCGGAACCATAGAAACATCCTGGTGGGAACGTGAATTCGAGTAATTGAAAGTGAAGCTTCCAAGATGAAAATATTGCAGAAGTCTAGGGCAAGTAAATGCTAGGGAAGAAGAAACCTGCAGCCAACCTCATTCATTTACCAGCACCCTACCAACTATTTACAGTGTCCTTGACCTGATCCTCCTCCACATGATCAAGGACCTTCCCCTTATGCCCTTCTGTTTTCCTTATGTATCCCTTAGTATTGATTATTCCCTTTCTGCCCATAAACACAAAAAGTAGTTCCTCCTATAAACCGCTCCTAGACCACTTTCTTTTCTAAATCCAGTATCTTTCCTTTATTCTTATTTTCACTTGTTGGAAGGCTTTACCAACCTCCTTTTCTCATTTCTTATACCTCTTCAATCTATTGTAGTTTAATTCATGCCCCCAGTATTTTTACTGAAATTTATACGATCACCACACTCTACTAGAGTTTTCCTCTATCAGTTTATTCTCTAAATTCAAATGCTCCTATTTCTGCAAACTTTGCTTAAAGATTGATGTCTCCAAGAGTTCCTTCCTCAGCTCCTCTTACTCTACTCACTTTCTCTGGATGATCTACTTTCATTGTTGCAACTGTTGCCTGTTTTCTGATGACTTCCAACCTTTTATCTCCAGCCGCACCCTGCCCCTCCGAGCTTCAGACTTGTAGAGCCAACTGCCTGTGAGATATCTCTCCACCTGGATGTCCTACAGGCATCTCAAACCCAACATGTTCAAAACGGAATCGTCTTTTCCCTGAGCCGGTACCTTCTCAGCCATTCTCTGACTCAATTGCTGGTTCAGCTCTAATCCATCACCCAAGTTAGGAGTCGTCTTTGATTCTTTCGACACCCCCATGCTTCAGATAAGATCTACAGATTTTACTTTTAAAATGGGGCTTGTATTTGCCTCCTTCTCCCTTATACTTGCAGTCTCTGTCCTGGTTTGGGCAAGCTTTTATCATCTCTCACCTGACTTCTGAAAATGTCTCCTGACTTCTCTCCCAGACTCAGTCCTTTTCCCATCTTCCCCCCTTAATGTTATCAGACTTACCTATCTGAAGCAAAGATGTCACCATCTCACTTCTCTATCAAATTTTTCGGTGGCTCTCCCTGACCTATAGGATGAAGTCTAAGCTTTTACCATGATCTGGCCCTAGCCCACTTTCCCAGGCCCTGATTTTAACTGATGTTCTACAATATACAGAATTGCATGCTGGGGATATGTTGAGTTTGAGATACTCAAGGGAACCCTAAAAAATGTTCTCCTAGCTCCTTTTACAGTAGTTAGTACAGCGCTCATATAGACACTCAAATCTTTGTTGAGTTAAATTGCCATTACTAATTTATTAAAAATAGCCATGCTGATAAATTCTGGGATCTGCTATCTAAGCTATCTATATTTGGATCAGTTCCTTTTTCTCTGAAAGTCATTACCTCAGTGTTTTAGATAGGTGAATTTAAAGGCTTTTTTCTTCATTGTGTTTATGACAAACTTTTAAAGTTTGAAGGAGAAAGGGAAAAACTTCAAGCCCATCACATAGAAGGAAAACTTTTCTAGGTCAGCTAAGCTTTTGTTTACATAATTAAAATTAATAATAAAGAGTATAAGATGAAGATCTAACAATAATGGGAAATCATCTTTGACAAGGAATTGAAAATCCTTTCTTCTTTCCGTGGTGCCAGAATCAAAGGAAACTTGGTGTTATTAGAGCTGGGTAGTAATGCCAGAGGGATTTTTTTTTTCCTTTGGACTGAGTCAAAAGCTGTACACCTGCCAGAAAACAGAGATCTCATGTAAGGTTTATACAGCTGATTAGACTAATTAATAATCACGAAACAGCTGTGGATTTGCCCCTCCTGCAGCCAGGTCTGGGCTGATAATATTTTTGTATCCTTCCCAGGTTTTGGCTTGCTCATAGTAGATGTTTGCCACATAACTAAAGGCACTATCCAAAACCACTCTTGGGCAAAAGCTGTCTGGATCCTGTTTGTTGTCCCGCATAAACACTGGGAAAACAAAATTCCATTTCTGCCCATGAAGAGAAACACCTGCTTTTCTAATCAGCAGGAACATTATAGTCAAAACTGATGCACACCAGTTGGGAAATTGTTTATAGATTCATGGTGGCAACATATTCTCTCTCTCGGTGGCCTTGACAGATGAAAGAGGTGCCCCCAAGACCTCTCATCTTACCTATGGCGACAAGAGCCCATTGAAGCAGGTTTGTTATGTCTATGATAGAATTCCCACCACAAATCAAAGAGGACACATCAAGATCTTACTGTAAAGATTATAGCAATCCTTCTCAGGTATGTGTGAATCTATTGTGGGAATGGTTTGATTGAACACCAGAAGATACAAAGCTCCCAACCTCAAATTCTTATGGTTCTCGCACAGCTGATTTCAATTCTTGCTATTACTGTATGACAAGTCGCTTTGCCAGCTCAAAAGATGAGCATAGAGGCAAAAAGTGGTTATTATTAACAAATTTCTGCCCTTTAATATGTTTTGCATGAGACCAATAACCTACTTTTCCCTGGCTTGCTACATTAATCATCAAACCATCTTTTGTGAGGGCCTTTAGATTTTCTTGATTTTTTATAGTAAGCTCACAGTGATTTAAGATGTTGGGTGAGAGTTTGGAAAGATCATAAAACATCAGTGTCAGCACTAGAAACTTCCTGAGGTACAAATAGTGCATATTGTTCAAGACTTAAGTAACAATATGCTTAAGTGACAAACGGGTCAGAGACTTTGTGATGAAGACAGCCAGTTGAGAAAGATGATCTTATCATTCTGTGGTGTAACTGGAAAGGCAAATGCTCTCAGAAGTATTTTAGCTCGAACAAGAAAACTTCAACATGGATAACACTGCTCCAGAATCAACTGAGATAATTTGGACGATACCTAGGTAGCTTGCCAAGTCAACACACGTTAGAAATAGGGCTTAAAAAGCAATTTATATATGATCATTGCACATAATTAAAAAGTCAAGTAAGTGACATCTTAAATCATTGTTATGCAAATTAAAGATAATTTTATTAGGAATCTTTAGAAGCCGATATTCTAGTTCTGGTGGTTCAAAGAGTCTTTGTTGTAGTTCTCAAATTCCATGACCATTGGTGTCACTGGTTAATGCTGCGGCAGGAGATACATGTAATGCAATTGTGTGGGAAGGGTATCTTCTGTTTTTAATTGGAGCCATGCTGGAAATCCTTTGGAAGACTTCTCCTTTTTAGGCTTCCAGAGGGACTAAAGATGAAAAAGAAAAACAGATACCCTCCCCAAAAATACTAATTGAAGACACATTATATAAAAATAAGTAAATAAACAAACCTTTTCTAAAAGAGGCAAAAACCCGATCTGTATGTTGTCTTTCAAAGTCCCCATTTTATGTGGGTTTTGGCAACCTCCGGCCAGTTTTCACAGCCAACTCTGATACTGGGATGGCTCAGCGGCAAGATTATTTCTTCTTCTTCCAGGCTACCTGCTCTTGTGTTCCTAAGTCTTGACTTTTTGCAAATCGGATAGGAACTCAAAGGGTGTTCTATTTTTTTGTGGAAGAAAGAAATAGACACACAGTCTACTACAGTGTAGAAGCTCTCTGCAACAGCACAGCCAAGCTTCAAGTTACTAGATCAAAACTGAAAATGCCCTGCTGTCCACGGTGGGTGCAGGCTCTCACTTCCCTGAGATGCAGATGCATTTGTCATACACAATTACATATAAAAAATATAACATAGAGTATTTAGAAGAACCAATACAGTGTCAATAACTTTTGGGTAGCCAGAAAAACCTGAGGACCAAAATGGATTCTGACCATCATTTTAGGGCTGAAAAACAGGATCCAAGAATCCTTTAGTTGTCATTTCCCTAATCAACCCAATGACTGCCTTCTGGTTTACAAGGGGGAGGGGTACATTTGAGAAAGAAGGAGTGAACCCATATCTGACAGAATGATCAAATGAGACATTTTCCATTGCAGTTTCAGCAGAATTTTCTGAGATCTAGAGCAAACAACAGGAGCCAAGTAACCTCATATATCAAAGCAATGTCTGCACAATGTATGCAAAACTTGAAAAAGTATGGACAAAATCCAGCTTGCAAACCTTTGTCTCATTAAAAGAGTAGGAGAATGAAGATGAAGGAAGAGAGAGGATTTCAATTTGAGAAGTTGTCCAAAGGCTTGGTGGTCTTCCTCCCTCATAGAGAGTGGCTTCACCCTTGCTTCAAGCCAAGTGGAGGGGCCTTCAAGAGACCAACTTTGAGAGGTGGACATGTGTCCTTTGGGGTTTGCGGAGCATTAGAATTGGTATGAGACACTGTGGCTATAGATCAGCTTTAAGGTGGCTGGGGGAAGGATAAAATTATTTTCTGCTATCACCTTTTCAGCTTAGCCTATTATATTACTGACTACAGATAAAATCATTTTCACCACGGGGTGTTGGGGGCTACTCAAAGCACAGATCCACCTGTTTAATGCATTGGATAAACCATGGAGGAAGGTCATTCATGAGTTTAGCACCTTAAATTGTCTTGATTTTCAAGCTCCACCAAAGACTTGCTACCTTCTTTGGCCACAATTTCTGAGGGAAGGGTTCAGAGTCTATTAGATAAGGCAAGTGTTCTCCAGGTTTCCATCCTTTTGACCGGTGATCCTAGTTTTTAAGTGTCTACATAAAAACTAGTTCTTTTTTAACTTCTTATTTTTTAGAGCCTCCAGTTGTGATTGCTACATGTTTTGGCTGAGTGACGTTGAATACCTCATTTGATCGCCTCCTGACATAGTTTTTTAAAACAAAATAACACTGACAATGAAATTAAAGATATAATGAGAAATTTAAAAAATCAAAAGCTACAATAAATAAAGAGCCTGCATAAATACCTCATGAAAATGGCATCCACATGTCCCCTGCAAAAACTCCTTGTATCGCCCCATTGTTATAGTAAATGTGTCAACCACTTCATAGCCATATGTTTTTGCAGCATCCAGAATAATCACATTTTCTTTCCATAAGTTCTGAACTTCACTCTGTATTGCAACGGAGAAGAATGGGAATATTTTTTTATTTAAATTCAATTAGAATGAGAATTTTTATTAGGAGGATTGTTTCATGATTTAATAACTCGGATAGAAATCATGTGAATATCATCCTTTTTACAGATTGGTCCCACTGCAAGAAAAATAATTTCACACTCATTTCTTAAACAAAGATGTGTTGTCAGTTTTTTACTCAAAATATAAGTACAAACATTTATGTATATATAAAATGGCAACACATAAATATCTGGAATGACACACAGTTTGGAACTTTTCCTTCTATGAAAAGTAATTAGGTTTGGGGCGCCTGGGTGGCTCAGTTGGTTAAGCGACTGCCTTCGGCTCAGGTCATGATCCTGGAGTGATCCTCGATCCATGGAGTGATCCCATGATCCTCGATCCTGGATCGAGTCCCGCATTGGGCTCCCTGCTTGGCGGGGAGTCTGCGCTTCTCCCTCTGACCCTCTTCCCTCTCATTCTCTCTCTGTCATTCTCTCTCTCTCAAAAATAAAAAAATTAAAAAAAAAAAGTAATTAGGTTTATTTTCCACAAAGGTTCATTGAAATATTTAAAATTCTCACTTTAAAAGTCAAATTTTGAACATCACAAAGGCTATCTCCATCTATTTAGATTCTTAATCATTTAGTCATTTGAATATTAATTAGTATCTGTTCTGTGCTTAGCTCTGTGCTAAGGGATAATACAAGGATAAATAAATCATGGCCCCTGCTCCTAAGACATTGCATTGTAATAGGAGAAACAGATTTATAAACATTTACTAAGACCTTTATTGGATATAAATATCCTAGCCTCAGGGCTAGTAGGGAAGAGGGAATAGCTCAGTGGGGCAGGGGGACAGCTAGACAGTGAGGCTTCAGGAAGGAGCTCCAGAGCAGAGTGAGGTTTGCCTGTTGGATGGCGGTGGGGCAACAGAACAGGAGCTGTTCAGGGAACAGAACAGGAGCTGTTCAGGGAACAGCAGAAGTGAGTGAAAGCTCCAGCTGCTGCTTCTCAGGATCATATTCTTCCCTCCCTCCCCAACCATGTCCAAAGCAACGATGGTGCTGGGCAGGAAGTCTAATTCAGGTCCACTGTTGATAGGAGGGACCCCTCCACTAACTACTCTAGCTCTGGGATTTCTCATCAACTTGACTAGTACTTTCTCAGACTTTCCCAGACTGACCTGTAGTCTGAGACTTCCTACCTCATCCATCCTTCATCAGACAATTACAGCCAACCACAGTGCCCAGTAGTGCCCAGTATATAGTAGGCACTCCAAAAATATTTGGTGCAAGATTGAGTGATATGCATTAGGTGCTGGCGCCTGAAACTCTTCCTGCCTCCTCAGCACCCTTCCCTTTACCCTTTCCAGACGTTCTCCCTAATAAACCCCCTTCCTCTGCTAATTCTGTCTGCTGTCGGTTTCTTGGAGAACCTAAACTGACAGAGGAAGGGACCCGCTCTTGCCTTTTCTAAAGGATAAAAATGCTTCTCATTTTTCAGTTGAAAAAGCATATCATGGGGGTGCTTGGGTGGCTCAGTTGGTTAAGCGTCTGCCTTCGGCTCAGGTCATGATCCCAGGGTCCTGGGATTGAGTCCCACATCAGGCTCCTTCCTCAATGGGGAGCCTGCTTCTCCCTCTCCCTCTAGTCTCCCTGCTTGTGCTCTCTTCTCTCTCTCTCTCTCTGTGTCAAATAAATGAATAAAATCTTAAAAAAGAAAAGAAAAAGCAAATCACTTGCTTTTGTTGATCCAACTGCAAGGTAAAAGAAGCAGTACAAATATATCTAATTTTCTGTTTTCTCCACTGTGTTAGCATACCTATCTTCAAGAAGAGTGTTCCCCCCAAAATAAAAGTAGTGAATAGAAAAATTCCTAAAGCAGAAATCTAGAGGAAAGGAACATATGTGAATTTGGTTTATGCCATCATGTGAACAATGATGTTCAATATTGTTTGTAGACTTCTTGTCCAGTTACAAGTATTTTCTCAACTTTAATATGTCTAGCTATGAAAGGTATATGGAACTTTACAGTAAGCAGTTTCTAACGAGAGTTTTCTAGAGGAAGGTTGGTTCTCTGGAAAGCAGATTCCTGAGATGGGAATTTGCCTGCAGGAGGCTGATGGGAGAGTGTTTTGGGGATCAACACCTGTAAGGAAGTGATGTAGTTCTAAGAGAGGCTTTTGTGGATCCCCCGGGAGTTCTAGAGCTGGCCTGGTCCCTCCAAGATGGCTCAAATTAGGGAAAGGGGGCTGAATCTTGGTACTCCTACACTGGCAAGTCAGGCCTGGGCAGCAAAAGGCAATTCCTGGCTAGAGTCAGGTGGGAGTCCTTACTGGGCCACACTCCCATCTGGGAGGAGCCAAATCATATGAAGTATCACTCACTCATTCTTGTGTGAGATATTTTTTGAGATTCTACTATGTGCTGAGAATTGTGTATTGCATTCGGGGTACCAGAGTGAGCAATGCAGCCCTCGCTCCCCAGTCCTTGCTCTCACAGAAATTAGTCTAGCAGGGGAGACAGACAACCAAGCATTGTATCTGTTGAGAGACATAAACAAAGACACATGGCCCTATTATAGGAGCTCCTGGCAGGAGTAGCCAATGGAGTCTAGTGTGTCAGTTAAGTCTGCCTAGTGGTAAGCTAACACTGGAAGGGTAACTGGAAGTTGTTCAGGTGAAGAGGTGGTGGGAGAGTGGGCTCCATGAAGAGGAAACAGTGACTTCAAAGATCTGGATGTGACTGAGAGCCTGGCATGCTTGAGAAACTGGAACTTGCCCAGCAGGACTGAGCTCAGTAGTGGTGCATGCACGTGTGTGTACATCTGTGCATAGGCACGGGTAGCAAGTCTACAGAGAACAGTAGAGGCAAGCTCTTGAATGGCCATGCAAGAGTATGATTGAGTTCAGCCTTAGTTTCTGCCTCCACTTGCTATTATGCCTTTCTCTTTTGTTCTATTCTTTCCCCTCCACCTCTCCCCTCCTTTTGTCTTCATTCCATTTGAGAAGACTGATGAGGATCATTAAAGCCATTGTGGGAGGCATAACTATTCAACACAGGATCTGGCGCATAAAAGTGTTGTAGAAATGTTTGCTATCTGCTGACATGAATTGATTTTGAGTTTGGAACCTAAATATAAGTAGGGGTCACAAGTACTCCAGTTCCTGCAAGGGGTAAAGTGGGGGTTCAAAGCAGAGTCCTCCAGAAGGAACTGTAACCTTGACTGTAGATTTTAAATAACAGTCAAGGAGATTCAACTCAAAACCATTACCAAAAGAACTCTCGTTTAATCCCCAACAGCCTCCAACCCTTCAGCTGCCCCAGATGCTAAATACCTCAACTCATCTTAAGTGACCTTCCCCTCCCCACACTCCCCCCTAAGAGGCTGAATTTGGAGACTTAACTTGGGCCACATTCTACCACTTCTCCTGATTTTGCATCAGAGATCTGGCACCGAGGCAGGCAAAGTTTTGAGAAGGCGAGGGGATCATGTCATCTGTTCCGGGGAAAGCTAAGAGGGCTCAACTTAACACACACACACACACACACACACACAGAAATCTCACTCAATTTATACAGTAAATGGACAGCTTCCAGTCTCCCCCAGGGCTCCCTGGAGCAAGCACACACAGTTCCGGTGGCCCGCGAACTCTCCTTACTTGAACAAGAGCAGCTGCCTTTCTTTTCTTTTCTGAGACTTCTATTCAGTGCTGAGACCACTTTACTCTTTTCTGTAAGAACTGGTCAGAGGCCTCTAACTCCTCCCATTCCTGAATATCCAAGCAAAGGGAAAACTAATGATACTACTTCAAAGACTTTTTTTTTTTTTTAAAGCAATCAGTCAGAAATCATCTTCAAAAAAGCCACTCTTTCCCAAAGTACTCATTGATACCGACAAGTTCATTAGTGGTTTCAGCATGAGTCTTTAAAGGTGTATGAAATGTTAGTGGGGTAAGGGGATACTTAAAGATTAATCTTTCTCATCCAGCCCTCAGTTCTTTATTTTTTCATAGCATGGCATCCCCTTTCTTTTCTTATAGCTCAAGGCATTATTCACAACGTGTTAATGGGATATGGTCGCCTTATTTCCAGGAATAAGTAAGTATAACTGATTTGAAATCCTAATCCTTAAGTACATTATCTCCTTTGATTTTTATGAACGTGGCTGAATCTTATATAGTGCCTTGTAGGTCCTTTCTCAGACATCAGCAAAGATCCTTATAGGAACCATAAAGTTCACGTAGCCTGGAGGGAATGGGCCTACCTGTGTCAAGAAATGCAATCCATCCACTGGGAGATGAAATCCAATTCCCAAAGTTTTGATGATCACAAGGATATTGAGTAAATTTTCCCTGAGAAATAATCAGAATTCTGAGGTCATAAACTTTGATTACATTTCTTGGTGTTTGTGCTTACATAAACAAATACAATGGAATTCTTTTAGGATGTGATAATTGGCATATAAGACTAAATTCTCATTTTATAGATTTGGTATATTTTAGGGTTTTGGTTTTTCTTTTTTCTTTTTTTGTAGACAGAGTTTTATGTGTCAGTGGGTATGTTTTTTACCTGTAGTAAATATAAATGTGGATACCGAAGAGCTCTCTTGTGATTGGATACAAAAACTATTTTGAAACATTTTAAACTGGACTTCAAGTATGTAGTTCTAAATTACAAGCTGCTCTTTCCATAAAATCTTGATAAAATTGAGTCACCTCAAAGGTGACTTTTCTTTTTCACTTCGAATACTAATGACAATTCTTGTTGCAGAAACTTACCTCTTCAAAACCTTGTGAATAATTTGTAGGTGATTGGAACTGAGCCACTGAACACCACCAACGACCAATACCGTCTGGCCTGTGTTCTCCAGGGGACGGGATCTGAAATCCAGAAAGGAAAACAACACATGTTGCCTTGAAACAGATGCTCAACATTTTCTCAGCAGTGCCTCACATTTCACTGAACCATAGCTAGCGTCTGATCACCGGACCTCCTTGTCGTTTCCAACTTGTTTTCAGCCATATTACTTGGGATTTAAGCTTTTCAGCACATTTGATGTACAGGGAGCAATTATGGCCCCCAGTAAAATGTCAGTCCATTGTGGCATTACGCCATCCATAATAGTTCCACTGTACCTTTGCAAGAGATGTTCGAGTGCTTTCTCAAACGTTGGTCTCAGGGAAGGGCTTATCCAGAACTGAGGATAGTAGGAATAACTGATCAGAGTCTTCCCACCGTTGATGTTGTGATAGAATTTCGTGCCGTGCACCTTCTGCCATTCCTGCAGGGTTTCATTTAGTCTTTCAATCAGATAGTACATTATTCCTCTGTTGGTTGAATCTCCGATGAAAAGAATCTATGAAGTAAAGAAAAAACATTTGCTTTCAAATCTGATGTTTACATGGTGTGAGAGACAATTCAAAGTAAGTCATTTGTTGAATACTCCTAAAGGCACAAGGCTAATTCCTTGAAGGAAAGCCCTTTCAGCTGTTAGAAATGACATTCATCATATCCTCCCCCAAACCTGTTCATTTTCCTCTCTTCCATATTCCTCACAATGCTATCAGCCTCTGACCTGCTCACTCATGTTTAAAGCTTCTTGCTTTCTGCTCTCTTGTTTCTCCACCTCCCTTAGGCACTTTGCTTTCCCATCTAACGAGCTTAACAGATTTTATGGATTCAAATAGTCATGAGATATTTTAGTGCTATAAGAATACTTAGAGATTTTTCCAACCTCTTCATTTCATAGATATGAAAAATTGGGAATCCACTGAGGTTAGACAGCTCAGTAGAAGTCACACCACTGTTTGAGAAAAGAGCCACAGAACTGGAGCCTGAGTCTCTGAACAGCTATGTCCCAGGGAGCGAACCCCAGCCCCATTGGCCCTGGAAGACTCCTACTTACCCCCTCCTCCATAGCCCCCCCCCCCACCGTGAGGCAGCTCTGCTTCAGGCTTCTATCACCCCAGAGCTGTGGGAATGGCTGCCCTCGAAGTCAGGCTATATGCACAGCACTACTGTGAGAAATTTCCCAATGCCTATACTTCCCGTCCTCTCACTTTCATGCTCAAAAACCTTACTGGCTGTCCATTTTCTATAGAATCAAGCCCACGTGACTTAGGTTCAGCCAACATTTGCAGAAATTTTATTGCATATCAGACTCTGCTAGGTGGAGATTTCACACGGGGCACCCCATTTTAATCATAATGGTGAGGTTTGAGTCATTATTTCCATTTCACAGACGAGGAATTTGAAGCTCAAGGAGATTGAGGTCATAAATCTAGTAAATGGGGAACGCAGGACTCAAACCTAGGCCCTTTGACTCCAAGTGCAGGGTCAATGGTCCCGTCTTCTCAAAGCTTCCCCTTGTGTAAGCAGGTCAGATTCCTACTTTTTCGCTGAACATGATTCGCCCTCTCCCACAACATCTGTTTCCCCTTGTGCTAATCCGCCTGCCTAGCAAGCTCTTCCCTCTACAACCCCACCTGTGTAAATGCTACACAACCTCCAGACCCCAAAGAAACAACCGTCTCTCCCAGTGGGTCTTGTCCAATGCCCCAGCTTGTCCAATGAACTTCTCTGTCCTCTGTGATTTCATTACATTTTTAATTTCCATTACAGATTTTATCAAAGACTACATGACATTATGGCTATTTGTGTCTGTGTCTTTTTTCTCATATCACATCTAGAAATATTTGAGGTCAGAGTCAGGGTTAATTTCTAAATTCTAATTTTCCCAATACTACCATGCATACACTTTAAAAATATTTATTGAATTGAAAGTCAAAGGGACTTTTGTTAGAGACAATCCTTTTTAATGTCTTTGGACAGGTTTATTTCATTCTTCAGTTTTCTCTCTCTGTGTTGCGATTTCTCTTTCTGTTAGTCATGCACATATTTTTCTCTGATTTTAACAGCAGTCATTGCTGTCATTTCTCAGGACTACTGCATTTGTCCATACACAGCAAAGTGAGTGAGAATCTGCAAATTTCATTCTTCCATGGTAAATGTAGTCTATTAGCTGTGTGAAGAAATCCCCAAAGCATCTCCGATTTGCCCTCAGGTCAAACACCCAAAGCACCGTCAAGCTAAACTGAAAAATTTAAGATGTCAAGGCCCCAGTCACTGAACCTCTCAGTCAAGTTCCATTTGGGGCAATAAAATCCCAGTATGATAAAATAATTTGTGAAATCACTTGAAATTCTTCTCTCTGGATGTAGCCTGTATAACGATTTGTTTTTCTGGTCTAGATTTCTGATTTTTAAAAGTGAAATTTAAATCATCTGGAAAGCTCTTAATTGCAGATATACTAATTACCCAGCTCCATCTGTACTAATTTGCTGGGGCTGCCATGACAAAGTACCACACACTGGGTGGCTTATGCAACAGAAATTAACTTTCTCGTGATTCTGGAGGCCTGAAGTCCACGATCAAGGTATTTGCAAGGTTGAACTCTTCTGAGGGCCTTTCTCCTTGTCCTGTAGATGGTCATTTTCCCTCTGTGCGCTCACATGGTCTTTCCTCTGTGTGCGTCTGTGTCCTAATCTCCTGTTCTTGTGAGGACACCAGTCACACCAGATTAGAGCCCGCCCATAAGACCTGATTTCACCTTCATTACCTCTTTTAAAGGCTCTACCTGCAAACACAGTCACATTCTGAGGTGTTGGGAGTTAGGACCTCAGTGCATGAATTTGGCTGGGTGGGAACACATTTCAGCTCTCAACACCGGTAAAAGACCTTTAAGATCAGCTCTTAAACTAAAGTGTCACTACAGGTTTTCCGACGGGTTCTTTTCATTACGGTGTGGAGATGCAATCCCTCCTAGGGTATCTCCTGGCAGCCAGTAAGATCACTGGGGGGTCTGTATTGTGATCTGCAGGGAGAGATCCAGGGGTTTAGGAAAATCAAAGTAGCGGCATGTTACTGAGAGAAGAACATTTTGAGATATTTGTTCTTTTCTGTGGGGTGATACAAAGATGCAGCCCACAGAAAATGTCAGAGGCAAAAAGAATTACATGTCAGAATTCTTAGGTACAGTAATTTATTACCTCGACAATCTTAGATAAATTATGACTGCTCCAAAGCTTCCTTCTCTTATGTGTAAAATGGGGGAATATAACAGCACCACCTTAGAGAACATCAGGGAGATGTTCATACCTGTCTTGTTCCTGGCGCACAGTAAGCTCCCAATGTGAGCTAGCATGAAGACACAGCAAAGTGTAGTGTTTGTGAAGGCATCCAGTGGGCCTTGCAGTGCATTGCTAGGCACTTTAAATTCATTAACTCGTTTAGAAGAAACGCCAGAGAAGATGGGGAATGTCTCAGTCACAGCGCTTGCCCTACGAACCCTGCTGCGGATCCCCAGCAGGACTCACAGGGCTGCTGGTGAAACTGGAGCTCTGGATGGAGAACCAGAAGAGAGATTGCCACCCTGAGCAAACCGACACTCTCAGAACCACCTCTCGCCTCTCCGTCCCTGACTAGTGACCAACAAGACCTGCAGGGATGGGAGAAGGAAGCCTCATCACCAACATGTGCAAGACGAGGGCTAAATTGCAAATAACTAGGTAGCATTTTTCAAGTCTAGCAGACACGACTCTGAGAAGAATATTTCCTAGAGAATTGTTTTCTCCCGATGCCTTTCTATTCATGAAAGAGAGAGATGATACATTGTAACTAAAATGAAAATGCAGTTGTGATTTTAAGATGGCCTGTTCTGTAGGGGAGCAGTTTTTGTAAGAGGCTGATGGATATTCTTAACTAAAAGATTTCTAACTTCAAAAGGGTAGTTCTCTTAAGTGCACATACGCAATTTAAAAGTAACATCAGGAAATAGAGTGGGTTTCTCCCCCAGCCCCAGTTACATGGCTAATAGTCGATCTTTATGTCTTTTAGATCATTCAATTTGGGGAATTTTCAAAAAGGAAATTTGTACATTATTTGTTTTAAAGGTCAGCTTTAAAAGGCCTAAATTTCCATAACAAATATCCATAACTGGCCATAGAATTTGTAAGTAATTCTTCTCTCCTGTGAATATTATTGCCCTACACCAGCATGCACAGGTGCTGGCTGGCATAGGCAATTAACGAAAAAAAACTGATCATTAAGTACAAATAACCAGTAAGCAATGATAAAAACAACCAATGTCAGCAATAAAACATCAAAATAACTAGATTTCCCCCCTACCAAAATAGCAAAGATTTTGAAAGCCCCTACAGTCTTATGAGCTCAGGGAAATGAACTCCCTCATATACGATTGTGTGAGAGCTATGAGGGAGAGGTTTTATCTTCTTTCTTTTCAACTGTTGAATCCCAAGTTCCAGAATAGTGCCTGGCATAAGAGTTGGTTCTCCTGTGTTAAATGGATGAATGGAAAGTTTGCTGTCGTGTGTAAACTGGCAGATTTTAAGGAATTCCACTTCTAGGAAATATTTAAGGATGTCTATTACAATATATTTTAAAAGCCAAATACATTGGAAGCAGTACAAGTGTCTACCAGATTCCTTATATTAAGGTATAATCATCCACTTGAATTTTTTTCATCTTTTAACAATGATACTATAATATGGATACACTGTGATGGGGAAGATTTCAGTTAGCTTTTATGAAAAGCGCATTGCAATCAGAATATAAGTAACGATGGCACGTTTGTGAAAGTAAAGCGTGTGGATGTGTAGAAGGGGTCGTGGAAAGTTACCCATGGTTATTTTGAAGGGGAGGATATGACAGTTTATTCTCTTTCCCAAAATGAACGTATATTGGCTTTTTACGACAATAATCAAAAACCCCACAAAAGCAGCTGCCGTGACAGCAGTAACAGTAAGTCCGTTTTGTTTAAAAACGCTTTGAAAATTCACATTAAAAATAATCAGCTTAAACAAATTTTAGTTCAACTTTTGTGAAACAATGGTTTAAGGGTCAGTTCAATTTAGCCCATCACGGGAATCATGTGACTCTCCTATTTCGGACCGCAGTGCAACTTTATCCCAAAGACTGAATGGCATTTTCCCATGCAGCATCTTCTCCGGTCCTTTGGTGCAAGAGGGGAGCCTGCCTCCATCCAGGTGGGCCCCTGGAGAGTAGCAGGAACTTCTGGGCCTGGATGTGTCCTGGGGGGCTGGACCTCAACTCATCAGTGGGAGACAGAGATGTGGTTAGGGGAGTTTTATATCTGTTCTATTCCCAAGACTTGGCAGGCAGTATGTCACTGAGAAGTTCACCGGGGCTGGCGTATTTCCTACTCTTTTCACACCACCGTGGACCAGAGGACCTAGAAGCATATCATGTTCCTAGGCTCTATTAAAGCTTGGGGCTTATTAAAAAGTCACCTTATTAAAAGCACGTGAAATGGTTTAA